TGGTTTCAAGTGAACACAGATGCCTGTCTTCCTCATGCTGAAGTTTCTATCACTATCAGCATCTCGACAAGGCCTACCTGTGCCTCCGCTCGCTGAAGTCTCCACATAGCTTTCAGGAACCTTTGGGAAGGCATCCAATTCTTTCATCAAATTCAAGGTCTTCTTCCGATTCAGTCGCCTCATCTTCAGCACACTCCTCCACCTCCTCCTTCATATATTTCCTCTAAAGTGAGAATAAATTGTGATTAAAAGACACAAGCAATACTGCTCAAATTGACTGGCTTTAACATAAAGCAATAATAAGACTATTCAAACCCCAGAAATAAATTTTCAAGAAACACATGCTAGACAACTGGATGGTCACAGAAGTCACTCACTTAGGAGAAAATATCTAATAGGCTGCAAAAACTTCAGAGGAATTCAGACTACTCTGGGATCCTACATTCAGCCAGTGTGGGCACAAACTATATCTTAAAGGAAAAAAATGGTACATTTTGCATTTTTACAGGTGTAGAATATTATGATCATAAAATGACTGTTCTTTTCTTCTATAAAAATACTTCCCAAAGCAAGTCATGGATCAAATCCTAACTCCATCCTTCAGAATCATTTCTGTACATGACATGATCTCTGCTTGGAGTCATGTGAAGCAGCAGGATGCTGAGAAAAGCAGCTTGCCCTGAAAATACTGTCTAAAACCATTTCCAAATCATGCAAATATGTCCTGCCAATACACTGCAAGTTTTAACAAGTTGACACTGCTGTTTTTCTTCTGGGGAACTGCTGAACTTCACCCTGAATTTCTGAAGCTATGAAAGCCATCATGCACATACTGTATTCTGAGAATGTGACATCTTATTGTTCCTTATTTAAACACTAAGGTGGGCAAGCTAACCTACACTGCCAACACATGAGACAACTCTCATCATCATCTTGTACAAAAATCTGTGAACTCATCTACCCTGTTTCAAGAGAACATCAAGTCTCTGGCATGTCCTAGTGAAATTACTTAAGATCTACTCCCTGCTCTGCCCCTTCCTGGTGCTGAGCAGGCTTTGTACCATGTAAAAACAAAGCAATAGGCTCTATGAGAAATGAAAGTTCACACTTTCATCTATGAAAGATCACACATCATCTATGCCTGCAACTTTCTCATTACACAAACTGGCTTCAGACACAGACTCTGTACTTGGTCAGGGTGCAGAGATCAACAAAATGGTACCGTGTGTTTTGCGCAGGATTCAAAGAAACCCCAGTTAGAGTGGGCAGAGAAAATAAGTGCTGGAACAGGCTTTTGGTTATACAACATTAAAAAAATAATCAGGAAGCACAGATATGGCAAAGCAGCTGCTTGGACACAACTGAAGTCATAACATTAGTTAGCACAGAAGCAACAGCAGTGGGGCTTGCCTGTTATCCTTACACATAAAGCAATGAAGCCAACATAGTACCCCTTCCATTTTCCAAGTATCTTCCCTGCTACTGCATGTGTAAGAGCACACTGTAAAGAGGCACAAGACAAACACAGGGAATTTGAGAGCACTTTACTAAAATACTTTCTAAATCACCTTGTATCGGTAAGTACGTGGATTTTTTGTAATCCAGCTAGATATATACAATCTGTTCATTGGTTTCTTTAATCCCACACAGACTCACTTTCAGCTACAAACCCAGATGGAGACCTGATCCCTTCCCCATCTCCACACATGTACTACAAACACAAAAAAATATGAAGTCCATTGCAATGAAAGTGAGGTATTATGACTCCAAGAGCCAATTGCGTTAAGAAACCTTATTAGTATTATTATTCACTATAAATAAGGGACAAAGCACAGCACAAATGCCACTCAAGACCAGAGGCCCGCTCGAAGCCACGGCAACTCCAACCAGCCGAGGGGCTCAGGCAGTTTTCCCTTCGGCAGAGAACTTGGCAGCGCAGCCGCCACCGGCGCGTCCCAACACCCGCTCCACGGGCGCGGAGCGGACCCACACCGAGCCCCTGCCGGGGGCTGGGCAGGGCACGAGGGAGGCCCGCGGCCGCCGGCTCGGAGCCGCACACCTGTGCGGGCCGCGGGCGCTCCCCGCCGCCGCCACGCACGGGCAGCCGCGGGACGGGACAGGCCGCGCCCCCGCCCTGCCCTACCTCTCGCTTCTGCCGCCGCTGCCCAGCGCCGCGGGCGAGGCCGGACGGGGAAGACGAGCCGCGACGCGCTGCCCGACGCCCGCCCCGCTGAGCATGGCACCGCCGGCCGGGCGGGCTCGCTCCGCCGCCGATGCCCGGCGGGAGCCGCGGGCCGACGGGAGCGGCGGAGCGCCCCGCCCGCCCCTGCGCGCATGCTCGCGGCCCCCCGGGCATGCGCCGGCGCCGCGGCCCGCGACGGGCGGGAGCGGGCGCGGAGCGACCGGCAGCGGGCGCGGGCGGAGCCCCGGGGCCGCTCGCAGGGCTCCCTGCACATCCGGGAGCTCCCTGCCTCCTCGTGGGCTCCCGGGCATGGCAGTGCCACCCCGACGTGCTGCTCCGGAGAATCTGTGGCCGTGCGAGGTATTGAGCGATCTTTTAAAGCCATGGATGTCAAGTGCCCTCCAAACTGATTAAAGGCTGTCACGCGGCTTGCAGTGTTAATAGTGGTTTGGCCGCTATGGGTGTAGAAGCAGGCAGCGTTTGGAAAGAGGCAGCATCTTGGAATAACTGTGAAGGAAAGGGCTTTAAGACAGTGGCCTATAACAGTGGAGAAGGAAATATTTTAAGCTCATAAGCCAGTCTTAATTTTTTCATTTCAAAACGGCTCACGTATACCCAAAATCTCAGTCCTTTTCCCTGTGCTAGTGGAATTAACTAACAGGCACTGCCTCTCCACAAGCTTTATGCCTTAGTAACTGCAACATTAGTTTATCTCCAGATTTTTCCCTACAATTCTAAGTCTCATTATGCTACTGCTGCTCTGCCCACAACTAAGTGACCCAGCCAAAAAGGGTGCTCTCCCAATATCTTCCATGGAGTAATAGGATCCTAGATTATATCAAAATGATTTTTTTAAAATTGCTCAATATAAGGTTTTTAAAAAAAAAGAAATTATACCAGACATTTTTCTTCATACATCTGAAAAAAAAAAAAAAAACAACAAAACCCACAGCTTGAAGATGCCAGTGTTTTTGATACTGAGGCAAGCAAATAAAACCCACACCCTAGAAACAGGTACAGATAGTAGTGAATTTTGCAGCATTGATTCAGATTTGCTCATTTTAATGGTTTAGAGGAAAAAGTAGATCAATAACAAAAGAGTTTCAATAGCATGCCAAAGTATACACAATTTGAATTAAACAACTCTGGGTATCTACAGCATTTCAGAATAAAAGGAGCCTGAAATAAAATAGGACTACGAACAGATTCAGACCATTTTTTGCTTTTTAGGGATGCAGGAAAGAAGGAAATAAACATGCAGCAACATGCCAGTGTTCTCACTGAATTGTGATCAGTCTGTTTCCATCATTTTGGGAACTATAATAAGAACTGCATCAGTCAAAAAGAAAAAAAGAGGGAGGAAGTATGATATTACAAGAGATAAATAACCAGGCTAAAAATATGTTTATTGTACATTTGTTCCCTCATCTCAGAAAGAGCAAGCAGCTTTAGGCACATAAAGCTCTTACTTTGACATGGCTAGGTCCTAGGGTATAATTCAGCAGCCAGGGATTTTTCTGGCTAAACCCTATTTTCCCTTGAAATCCTCTCAACACTGAGGCTTGGAAGGAGAAACCGATAGATCTGGTTATTAGCTGTGCAGCAGAGATGCCCAACAGATGTTTTCACAGGCAAACAATCTCATCTGCTCATGGACAAACATGAGCTCAGCCTTAGTGCTCATCACCCAGAGACACCTCTTACAGAGAAGTGGCACAGGACAAAACTGCTTGCAGCTTTGCACCACTATAGTCTTACTCATAACTACAGATGTCTCCATGAGATTTTATGAGAGAAAGCACGGGGAAAAAAAAATCAGATGTTAGGAAAATCAGAGAAACATTATGTAGTGATAACACTGTCTGTTACACTATGTATTTGACTGCACTGTGCTAAAGAGACACAACAGTAATTGCACTGCACCCTTTAAGTACCAGACTCCTCCAATTCAAACTGTGCTCCTTTCCTTACTCGTGTTTTCTGCTCTCCTGATCACACCTAAGTCGTGGCAGCCTATAAGTGTCTGCCAAATAACCTCAGGGAGTCTCATGAGGAGGAAGAAATCCAGCTGCCAAGAACAAACCATGCAGGTAAGCCAACAGGCTGCCCTTCAGATGCTGCTTTACACATTTGTTTCAGTAAAGTATTTAACAAGATCCCAAAGCACCCCCAGATTTAAATGCAGCCACCAATACAGAAATACAACTGTCTTCCCAAAAAACCCAGCACTTCATAACACTGGTGATATATTAAATCCCTTAATGTGTGCAAAGTGAGGAAACCACATCCGTATGCTTTAGCAAACCACAAATTATGTAGGACAGAAAAAAAGTTCCCAGGAGTATGGGGTATGAAGAATGTTGTTATCAAAGATAATAACAAAGAGGACCGTAGTAGACCAAACAATTGAAGCAGATGTAAACATGCACAGATACCGCCCACCTTCGCTTCAACACACTTCAGCATTATTTAAAAAGCTGGAAGCAGTGTGCAGATGCACAAACTAAAATAAAAACCTGAATAAAGCACGTCGAGACTAAACACAAGCCCCCATCGTTTACTGCTGCTACAGTCGCCAGCGCAGGTGGCTCATGATAGCTGAAAAAGCATTTTGCTAGAGCGAAAGGGCGAAGGAGAGGCTGGATAGCAGGAGTGGGATCGGCCTGCAGGGGCTGAGGCGAGGCAGGGATGCAGAGAAGAGAGCAGCCGCTTTACCGCAACGTGGAGGCATCGAGGTGGCATTTGGGAAGGAGAAGGAGGGGCAGAGGAAACAGGTGCAAAAGAGCGAATACGGAGATGAGCGGTGGGAGTGGCTGGCATGGGGGTGGAGGAGAAGAAAGTCCTGGCGGTTGAGAGGCGAGGGCTGGGAAGATTTAAAGGATATGGCAGCAGGGAGGGGCAGCCTGGGCACGACGAGGGCGGACAGCGGCAGCCGCAGCGCCGTGAGGGGCGCCGTGAGGGGCGCCGTGAGGGGCGCGGGCCCGGCGCCGCGGAGCGGAGCGGGGTGGGGCGGCAGCGCCCGCGGCCAGTGAGGAGGATCCACGCTGCAGGAAGCGGGAGGAGGCGGCTACGAGCTCCGCCCGCCCGGAGCGGCCCGGGACAGCCCGGAGCGGCCCGGGACACGGCCGCTGCCCGCCGCTGCGGTGGCCGGGGCCGGGAGGAAGCGGCCGTGCGGCGGCGCCGCCGTGCGGTACCGCGGGTTCGCTCACGGGCTGCCATTTTCTTGGTCTGTCTCGATGCTCTCAATAAAAATAAGCTGTTGATGAAATACTTGGTCTCTCTAATCTTCACTATCAGTTTTCCAGCTCAACCTGGCTTACCGTCTTCTGAGAGATCCTTTCTTAAGTTATCTAGGGAAGATTTCTTGTCATAGGGTCTCAGAAGAAGACAAGTCCTGTTCACTGAAAGGAGGACGATGTTAAAATCACTGAGGCAATCTGAAGCAATCTTATTTCCCATGAATTCATAGTGTAAACAGAATGGCTTTGTTCGACATAGTTGCCACTGTTTTCATACATAATTACTTACCACTACAAAATTTTAAAGAGAAATTAATCCTAATTCTTATATTGAATATTTCTGTGACTTAGCTAACGTTTAAGACACAATTTATACAGCCGTTTCATGAAGCTCATGGGGAGCTCACAAGGCACCTGAGGTAAGGACTGTTGCACAGTTCAACCACTGTGTTGTGGTTGAAAAATGTTACAGTGGGGTTTTTGTCCTTTTCCTAAGAGTTTAAATGGTTTGGTGCAGACAGATAACGTACTGGAAGCTGTGTCTTTCATTCAGCACAGATTTGCTGTATGTTGTTGATAGATTGCATGGTATCTGTGGGGAAGGAAAGAGCATCACTCACTGAACTGAATTCCTGTTCAGATTACAAATGTCAGGTTTGTAATAAAGCCTGATCTTTTACTGCTTGGCTATTTTTAGTGATTAGATCATGATTACAAAACAGAAGTATTTTGATAATTGATCAAGCTACATAAAAACACTAATCCTTCCACATAATGTTCTTGAATTATCTAAATATAGCACAAGGCCACGAGGAGACAAAGATACACTAGCATATGTTGTGACCCTCAGTATTTCTTTTATTTTAGTGTTCTATTTTCTGTTCTTTGGAACAGTTTCCCTGAAAGAAACACATGACCATTAGTAAACAGGTTTCCGAAAATTTCTTTGAAGCTGTATTCACAAATATACTATATTTTACTCCTTTGCTACAAGCTTGCTCAGTCCCAGTATAAAACCTATTATTGAAAAATATCATTAGTCTTAAAAACATGTATGGTAGGAGATATTTGGCCTTCTGCAGGGTTAGCTGGTTGAGACTGGTGTTAGCTGGCACAGTGGAGGAACAAGAACCATTTGCCTCGATAGAAGAAAGACATTGCTATTTGTTAACTGCATTAAAGACACTAAAGACTTTCTCAGGGTTTGGGAGAGGTCTGGATAAGCTGTATGTGAGGTGATGGTAGTACTAGGATATTCATAAATAGTGTGACATAGTCTTACTAGTATTTTATCAAAAAAATTCAAGTTGTTGTGACACCTGTGTTAGAATTATATACTACTAGAATGCATACAAGGTGATGCTTAGCCAACAGAAATCAGCATATTTCCCCAAAGTTATTGTAAACTCTGTATAGTATGTGCATTTATTTGTATGGGCTCTGTAAGTGTTGTAGATAGGTAGGATTATAAAAGAAAGGCCTTATGAAATCAGGTCTCACTCTGCTAAAATTGCCAAAGTTGGCCTGTCATTTCTAAGTGCAGCTAACAAGCAATATGTAAGTTCTCATGTGAAGCTATGTTGAGAATGAGAAGTTCATTTAAAACAACAATCTCTTCTGAGGGTAAAAAACAAATGCACCTGTGTAAACAATAAGATTTGTCCCATGAGAACCCACAAAGGAAAAATGTAAGCATATCTAGAGATAGAAAATTTGCTAGACATATATAATAGCCCTTAGTGACCAATGAATGGAGTTTTACTGTATTTCTAACCAATTAGGTTGAACACAGTGCCTTCTGATATTTCCTATAAATATATATATTTTCTTATATATAGCTTTTTGAATAAAGAGTTTGTTTTGTGCATGAAGAAAATGGAGTCTTGGCTGATTTATTCCAACATATAAGAAATAAAACTTTTGAGTTTTCTTTTAAGTTTTTCCCATGATATTCCAGCAGGCCAAACTAGTTTAAAGGAACCCTTGACAAATTGGTACAAAGGTTTTGCTTTATAAGAATAGGATTTTGATATTAGTAATAAAGAACATGAACTCCATATATTGCTGAGGGATTTTAAAATTTATTTTATCATGCTTGTTGCTTTGAATATGATTGGTGAGAACTAAACCTTGCAAAAATAAGAACTTGCTATTAAGCTTTATCTAGCCAAAGCATAATCTGGCAATCACCAGGGTTTCAATTAATTTTTGGGACACTTCTGGAGGGCAACCTGAAGGGATCAGGATACTCTTAAGTGAGCAGTTCATTGTGGACCTCAGTAGGTCCAATGCCTTCTAACTCTTCAAACAGCCACTGTATTTCTCACTTGCCCACCGTGGGGACCGGTTGTATCCGTGTGGGTGGATTGCTCTGCTTCATTTTTAGCCTCTGTTCCTGCATGGCAATACTCTTTTATGAACTGCTAGCACAACTTTCAGCTCCAACTTTGAACATATTTTCTGTGATCTTCTGCCCAGCTCTCTTCACATCTTCCTTGCCCAGTCTATGTCTCTATGATTACCTGTGGATCTTTTCAAAACATTAAATCTTTTTGCTTCCAGGGTACCTGAATCAGCTGCTTGTCTTCTCTTTCCTCAGTTTCAAATTGATCCTCACTTCCCCAAAGCTCTGGTCCTTTCCTGTTTTCTGTTTCAGGCTGCTTACCATGTGAGATATAGCAGAGACCCTGAAGTGCCTTCTGGCTTAGGGTTCACAGACACGTACTCCCCTGACCCTGCTGCCAGGACCTTGGGGTAATGGTCACAAACTACGTGGTAAGAAAGCACAGGAAGTATGAGCAAACCAATTGTTGAAATGTCCTCCACATAGGTGGTCAGCAGGGGAAAGATTGCTTCCTGCCTTCTTCTGAGAAAAGGGAACTGCCTCAATAATGGCTTTTGAAAGCAAGAGGCATTTTCTACTCCAACTTTGCTGCTGGCATTTTCTGTGCTTGGCTGGGTTTCCATCATACTCAGCTGCTCCTTCCTGGTTGTGACAACACTTTCCTTCCATTTGACAAGAGAAGATCATCAAAGGGAAGACAATTTTTTCCTGCTTTCTTCCATCTGGTATAATTAAATACTTGAGAGAAAGCAGAGCTTATATATTCTTGATCCCAGGGAAGATATATTAATCTGTCCACCAGTGCCCAACTTACTAGCATGCAATGTTCTGGCTGTGCTACTGTTATATTGGTTATATGCTACGGGTCCATGACAAAATCTAATTATTCTTCTCACTTATGTGTGATTCTGTGTGATGCTTCCTGTATTTGTACAGGTACCGGATGTTACAGGATAGACACAATTAAAACTAAACAGTTGATAGCCAGCTATCATTCTGTCATGCTTTTAGGTAATTAGCATGCATATGTTGGGAGATTTTACAGAATCTCAGAATAGTCTGAGTTGGAAGGGACCCAGAAGGATCATAAAGTCTAGCTTTTAAGTGGATGGCCTATATGGAGATTGAACCCACAACCTTGGCATTATCAACACCATGCTCCCACCAACTGATACCTCTGGAAGCCTTTGTATCAAAGGTCATTTGGGACTGAAAATTAAGAATCTCCAAAATATCAGTTTTACTGTTTATATTGCCAAGAGCTCAGGATCATCTGACTCCTGTCCACTTTCATTTTGATTTTCAAACCATTAGATTTAATTCAGGATTTTGGCCATGGATGACATTCATCTCAGTACATTTTAGTTGCTTAAAATACAAGCATCTGTCCTAAACTAAGGATCTGGGCTGCTCATAACCAAAGGAAAGCAGCTGATACCTCCAAAAGGGGATTTATCCCTTTATAGTAGATAAAGAAGGCGGTGTGATGAACTCTATAGGGTACCCTGTGAAGCCCAAGTGATTTGTTTAGATTAAGTACTTTTTACACAGCAAGAATAATCTTAACCTCAAATAATTTAATTTATTGAAAAATTTATTGAAATTTTAAAGTGGTGGCTCTACTCCTGCCCCTTCCCTCACTGCTGGTTGGTGTCTGTGAAGGGAATATATGCTGCAGTGCTAGCAATTCCCATCCTTTATGTGTACTGAGGATATGCCTTAGGCCTAAGCAATGACAACCCTCAGACCTGTGATGACTTGAAAAATCACACATCAGTGCTATCTACCCTCCAGCCAGCATGGGACAAGTGATGCATTATAAATCCAGATCCTTTATCAGTGCAGAGATTAAAGAAGCAAGAAAGAAATTTCTTAATCCCTGCCTCAAGCAGTTTAAAACCTCTTTCTTTCTTGGGGTCCTACATAAATCAGAAGAGAGGACTGGCTATATTCTGCAAATAAATCTTCCTTGATATTTACTTCTCACATAACTTCTCTGTAACAAATTCTGAATTCCCCATGAAATCTGTTAATAAAATGTCAACCATTTTCTAATTTAGTAGCGTTGTAGTAATAATACTTTCTTCAGTTATATGTGCCTCTTTCAGGCAACATTTGACATACTGCTTGCACATAAAAAGTGAAATTAATATCTTAATATATCATTTAGTCTTTTTCCTAATACCAAAACCCACTAAGTATAAACCATCTGTACAATAATTAATCATGCATGAGTGCAAACCAAATGCAGATTAAGTCAGCCTGAAAAAAGTCTCTCACAAGTAATTTTCACATGCATTTGAGGAAAATAATTTCAAAAAAATTAAGTATAAGAATTATTTTGCCTAGACTTAATAATTATAACAATGGCAGAGGACACTTAGTACTGAGCATTGCAATAGGATTATAGAGAATGCCTTTCTTTTTATTTCCAAAAGAATAGAAATGACCAAAAGGAAAGGCAGTGATAAATTTATAAAACATATTTTGCTCATATAGAAAACCTTCTCTTTAAGGATGTGTGATGGTACTTGACAGACTATCATGAATTAAGCCTTACAAACAGTCAGAGAAGAACTGCTGACAAATGTCACCTTTAAAATTGTGTATCAAGGCAACATGCCATTGTGAAAACTGGAATCACAGTGCCACACGTTTCAACAAAGACACCAGAAAACAGTGGCCAGTTCTGTGCATGAGCTGTTGAACACTATTTCAGAGCTGAACACTATTTCAGAGCTGTTCCATCACTGTGTTGCCCATGACTGTGCTGTACCCCACACATTAATCCCTGTCCTGTCCTTGCTGCTGGGGACAGTTACAGGCAAAACCTGTGCTGAAATGCAAAGCCATGACTCAAGTTGCCCGTGTTGTCTTCAGCTTTAAACTGAGAAACACCTAGTGCTCACACTGATGATCCAGTTTGAACTGTTTCAGCTTTGGCTCAGTATGTCCACACAAGTGCAATCACAGCTGTCTGGCAGGTTTGTTTACAGTCACCTCAGAGCCCGAAACAGCCCTCCAGACCATTCACATGCCTGCTGTGAGGAGTTATCTTTTTTAGCCCCTGCTCAGATAATCCAGAGCCACTAGACTTCTGATGCTAACTAGTTATAAATATTTTGATGTTTGATTTCAAACCAGACCAACTGAACAGATTTTTAATTAAACAGCAGACAAGGTGTTGTCTGCTAGCACTTTAAGAATCCCAGCCTTCTGTTTTCAGTTGCATGAACTTTTTCTGCCATGAACTTAACCTGTCACAATTGTCTTTCAGTGAATATATTTGCTGATGCCAGAAGCAGAAGGAGTTCACAAATCAAGATTTTGACAGGTTGCAGGCTGGGTCTCATTCTCACCTACACCTTGGTGCCTCAGGGGACGTGCTGTCTTCTCCAGCTGAAGTGCACAGGTATGCCTTTTCTTGCTTCCCTCACTCAGCTCTGTTCATTCCCAGCTGCGACACTTGGCTGCCTGGAACCCAGGTAAGACCTCTTCAGAATTTAATTTTCATGTTAAACATGGAACCAAAGTATGTTGGGGTTTTTCTAGTCCTTGTTTCTCCATTAAAGGGAGTAAGGTTTAGAGAGTATCACTGATTCTACATGTCACAGTGTTAGGGTAGGAATTGGATGTGTACCTGCCAAGATCGCTCACCATGGGCACCTCTATTTCACTACAGTGCTGTTGCAGTGGTTGCAGCTTAAATCATCAGATGAGTCTGTCCATTATTCTGACAGAGTATACAATTTAAAGTCCAACACAGGAGGAAAATACTTGCTCAATTTGCCTCAGATCTGTGGCCAGGTCTCTCTGTAGCCAGGCACAGCTGCATGGATGCTCACCAGCATCATCCCCCTATCATATGCCAGGCTCTTTGTGGTTGTGGCAGGTGAGAGCAGCTGCAGCAGCATGAAAGCCTGGTGAACCTTGCTAGCTTTCTTTGCCTGTGGTTGCTGAAGTACTCATCTAGGTACAGCTGTTGTGTCATATGCTGTAATGAGCTGGGTGCACCAAGCCCATATGGATCCTGTAACATCTGAAGTGCTTTTGTTTTTGTTCCCACTACTCTGGGGGTGTATTTAATTTAAGATCACTCAGTACAGTGATGGCTGTTTGAAGGTGAGGAACAAGAACACAGCTGGGAAGTGCTGCTTGGGGCATGCTCATACAGGGGTGCCCTAGCAGCTGGAACTGTTTTAGGATGCACCAGCCTCACTAGTTCCCACAGGTGGAGAAAGAGGTGGAAGATTCAAAGATAGGGGCAGATTTGGTTTGGTAGTTCTACTTGGTGGCAGGATACTGGATGTCTTTTATACCCATGGTTGTCTTTTGTTTTTCCAACAGTTTTGTGTTGGCAAGTCTTACTTTCCTCCAGGTAAATAGGAAGAGAAAGGATGCCTTAATACCACAATCAGCCTCTCTTGGACTCATGCTGAATTTCCCCTGTGCAAGTTTTTTGCACTGATGCTGACATAACCTGGTTTTCTTCACTACACATTAAGATGCACTTACATTGGATCTGTGACAAAATTCATAGCACCTGACATCAAGCATTTCTCAGTGGCATCTTCATTAGGATTTATGACTATTTTTTAAGTTAATGAAAACAAACTAGAACCTCCAGAGAAAGAACTAGAGCTCTGCAAACAGCTCTGCTGAATCCACTTAGAATTAAGGGGTTTTTTAAAATTTGAATACTACAGTATTTTAGCTGGTAGCATTCTACTTGTATTTTACACTAAGTATGAATATGTTTTCACAGTCTTCTCTGAAAGCCTTTGTGAAGTGCTCCTCTGCTTTCATCCCAGTTTCAGTGCCAAAATTTCCATAATGAGATTTGTTTTTTCTACAACTAAATCAAAACCAGGGTTTCCTTTTACTCTTTATATTTTTATTACATCTCTGTCACTTTACTAAAGGCTGGTTCTGGGTACACCTGTGTGCCCTGGTGAGAGGGAGCACCAAGTGATGGACCAGTTTTTCTCTTGCAGCAGTACCAGTCAGAGTTTGATGGGGAGGCATGAGGCTGGGACTGGCCATCCTGTTACACCTCAGTAAGTACAGATGCTACAGTGACTCAGGCCAATTCTAGAATATTATCATGTGATTTACACACCTTTTCAAGATTTCGTTAAAGCACTTTTTTTTAGAAAATGCTATTGAGAAACACTTGACAGTGAATCCTTATTCCCCACTCTTCTGCCAATGAGGGACCTATGAGATACAAAGTCTTCAAAGAAAACATACATGTTGCAATTGAGTCTGATTCAGGTCCTGAAAGGGGCAGTCAACATCTGCTAATGAATAATGAGCATGGATTTGTATTACTAAAAAGAGCAGACTAACTAAACATTGGCACTGCTTTACATTTAAAGAGTCAAGTGTCACTCATCATCTGAATTATAGCTTGAGCCATAGACTGAAATTTGGCTATAAAATGCTGTATTTTTACTGTTGTAGTTGGATTTCTAATATTCTATGGATGTCAGTTGTTTGGGTTTTTTAACTGCACCTTTTCTAACAAGTTGAGCCAAGTAAAGCTGAATGGATATAGCCTCCAAGGTACCCATTCCTTTGCAGAGTTTCAGGACAGAACTTGTTTAAAAGAAAAATCCCTGTAAGGGAAGTCTTAAAATAATGGAGAAGATATTGAAAGTTGTTTCAGGAAAAACAAAGTCCTGCAATTACTCTAAGAATTCAGAATTACTCTTCTTATTTATTAGTGGCCACTCCATGGGGTCTGAGAGAGCTCTGACACTGGACTAAGAATTTACTGCAAATTAAAAGAAAATCTGAGGGGCTCCTAATGTCAATCCTCATCTCAATCCTGATTTAATTTCCACCATTATAACTTGGAACACTTATTTCAACAGAAATAAGTGGAATTAATTAAAATCTGTCTCTGTGCACATAGTCAATAGAAATGCTCAATGTTCTTTTGTAGGATTGCTGACAATGCTGGCAATTGCTGTATTTCAGGGAGGGAAGCATAATAAATTATTGCTCATGGCAGACTGGCATTTTTACTGAAAAGTAACATGCTGAAAATTTAAGTTTTAGCATAGATTTGCAATATGCTAGCTATATTTTTTATATTATTTTGCAGCAGATGTGTTCATTATTGAAGTTCTTTAAAAAATGTGTAACTAAGGATAAAAGGGGTACAGGCAAAGGATAATTAAGTTTTCTGCTTGTGTTGGGATTTAACTGATTTTGTCTGGAGAATATTGCTGGCTATACAGAACAATTTAATATTTCTTTGATCTTCTTATATGCTCAGTGCTGATAAGACCCCAGCATGCACAGCATGACTGTGATGCTGGGTCCTGCCACCCAGCCCTTGGGGACCTTCTCCAGGGCCGCAGCAAGCAACTGACAGCCACGTCAACCTGTGGGATGAACAGCCCTCAGAAGTACTGCATTATAGGCTACCTAGAGGTTGGTTTGCTCTTTCTTTTTTAATAAACTTTTAATAAACTTTTTAAATGAACTTCTCATACTAACCATATTCTTGCTCTTCCTACTAACCTTACTCTCATCTGTGCAGGGAATTTGCCCAGACTTGGAAGTTCCTGTGGGAGTTATCTGAATAATTATCAGACAGTGTGGCACTAAGTCTGGTGGAAGGCTCTGCCTCACTGCACATATGGAAGGTTTGGCAGCAAACAGCCTCCACAGTGATGCATATCTTCCCAAGGGGGAGAAACACCCCTGAGATGCACAGGGATTGAGCACAGGGATTTCTGAAGGAGCTTTGCTCTGCAAGTCCTCTTCCCACTCAGGCCCCAGAGATGAAGCCCATGGTCTGTGTGTGTGAGTGCAGGGGACCCACAGGCTGCAGGGCCTTCTCCAGAGCACATCCTCGTAAGGTGTTGAGACCTGAGGCAGCCTGTAAAGGATATGCCTTAGGCATCCTCATATGTTAAGAAATTCACATCATACACTCCTCTCTTTTGATCTGAAATGAGGCCAATGGTACTGAAAGCAAAAAGCTGCCTCTGAAAAGGGAAGACCTAATGTTGTCCAGGCTTTGGCCATGTGGGTAGGTCAGCAGATCCAAAATGTGGCTGATCAGAGGGATGCCTCTTCTTCCCTGGCTGCAGTGATAAGGGGGAACCATTGGGTGTATGAAAGATGTGCAGAAATGAGGATTCCTTTTTTACGTCCTGGAGGACTTGGCCTCACTGAGCTAATAAATTTTAACAAATAAAATAATTGTCACTAAATGACAGCCTAGGCTGAAGAGGAAGTTAAAATACAGCTTAATTTATAAGCAATTGAAAATAATTACAGTTTATGACCTTCTAGCTTAATGTTGTGACACATTTGCAGAATAAAGTATGGACATGGAACCAAGCACTGCTCCAAGCTGGAAATTGTATCCACAGTTTTCTGCAAAATATAAATATCTCTTTCCTTTGCTAAAATAGCCTGGATCATCTTTCTTGCCCCAAAGCTGGATGATTGCCTTTTATTCTTGCTTTTTAGGAGGAGATCAAAGAGCAATAAAAAAATTAATATTTTCACTTGCCGGTACTTATCCTTTAAATCATGTAAATACAGACTCATGAAAAGGAGCAGCTGTTCTGCAATAATCCCTGTGATTTAAAGCTGCTTTAACATATCTTGAACCCTGGCGGCTGTCTCTTGAAGAGGGTGAAAACTACAAACTCTGCTGCTTTGCAGAGCTTGAGAGAGAGAGAGAGAGAGAGATGTTTTGGCATCTTATTCTTTTCCATTATCTTGCCTTAATGTGTTGTCACCTACAGTGCATCAGAGTGCCACTTCACTTTCAATTTGCTTTCTCACCAGCACATTTTAAATTCTTTGCTGGAGGCAGACCAGGAAGTTTTGCATCTTGTAAACCAAAGTTCTTTCTCTACCAGTTCCTCTCCTGGTGACCTTTGTCAGATTTCATAACAGCAAACCTTACTCATGAAAGTGGGTATTAGTCAACGTGGCAAGTTACCAAAAGCCAAGATTTAGCTGGGATTCAGATGGGGAAAAAGTAGAATTCAACTGCCTTGTGTTTGGAAAGAAGCAGTACAAATAATTTTTAGTCTTTAATATGTCTTATTGCTTTTAAAATGTAGGTTAAGTGGATTTTAGCTCAATGATTGGATTTACTACTTACACATGTTTTGAAAGAAAAAAGCAGGAGAGTATAAAGCTGCATAATTCAGAAGCAAATGAGATCTGCCAGAAATGGACGTGCACATGCTTGTTCTTTGGAGCAGATTTTTATGGAGCAACCTGCAACATAAGTTGCCCCAGTGTTATATTGTATATCTATATAAACCAGAATGTAAGTGTGCACGGTCTTCCAACTGCTTCATCAACCTGAGCTCTCTTTATCAGAGCTCTGTGAAATGACATGACAGAGTATTTTTTTTAAATTTCTCTTTCATCTTCTAAAATAGGCATTCATACATTTGTCAAGTGTAGTATAGAATGACTAAATATAATACATAATTACCATGTTTAAAATACATTAATTATGCCTGTAAATCTATATATCTTAATTTATTTAAATGCAAGTAATTCCCAGGTGATTACATAATGCAAAGATGTTAAAACCATTCTCAATTCTTTGTGGATCCTACGTGTGCTAAGTGGAGTGCCTCTCCACCCATCTCCTTCTAGGTCATTCCAGCCTCCCAGCCATGGGCACTGTCTTGGTTCGACAGCTTATCTTACAACCCAGGACAGGCACTGAACTCATGCCTCCTCCTTCAGTTCCCTCTGGGGTGCTGTGTCATCCCCTCTTCCTCCTGCCTCTGTCCCCACCAGCCAGGCACACAGCTTGGGCATCACCTTCTGCTGGGGCTTATTCCTGCATCCTCACACTACACTCTGCCCAAATCTGGAGTCAGTCTGCACAGTGTGTCCACCCCTGCCCACCCTGCTGAACACTTCCCTGGGACCCTGCTCGCTGTGATGGCTGCTCAGGCTTTCCACATGGCCCAGCACAGGCCATCTCCCAGCCCAGCATGTTAACCTTGTCACCTCTTCTTGCTCTCCGGCTCAATCCCCATCTTATCCCCTTAAACAGTAACTCCTTGCCTTCACTATTAAAGCCTCTCATTCAGAACTGAGATATCGGTTAATCATTACTACCTACATCTTCTGCTTGTAACATTTTCAAATAAGACCCTTGTATCCTATTGGTATCCCGATTTTCCTCCTTTGAATTGGTTTTAAAGTTTCCCAGTTTCCCTATGCTTCAAAAGACACTGACAGCTGTCAGAGTAGTGGTGTCATCCCAAACCAGCTACTTACCTGGTACCTGGTCTTACTGAGATCCTTTCTCCACAACTGCAAAAGTGTAATTTTTACAAAGTACCTGGGGAAGGCCATGACCAACATTTACTATGTGTATGCTTTGTGCGTGTAATGGTTCCCTTGAGCTTGTCTATGAAAAGCCCAAGTGATTAAAAGCACAGGCATCCAAAGCAACAAGACAGGTTCAAGCAATGGCAGAAATATATGTACATCCCCCTAATATTTAGTGAAGAATCCAAATTAAGCTTTCATTTTGCTCATTTTGTTTTCTAGGCTGAAGAGAAGTGCTTTCTCTGTGATTCCAGATACCCATATAATCCGTATACCCAGCACAACAGTCACATGGTCGAAAATGTTATTACAACATTTGAGCCCAAAAGGAAAAAGAAGTGGTGGCAGTCAGAAAATGGTAAGTTCCTTAGAGAAAATATTACTGCAAAATGTTACTGTGGGATTGCTTTATTGCCTTCATGAAGAGATGAAAAAAAACTGCATCTATTATTTGATTAGTTAATACTGAGTGATTTAAACCCATTTGTGTGTAACAAGATAAGATTTCAGGAAGTCTATGTTTCTATGGACCAGCTTTAAACTCAGCACCTCCAAGAGCTGACCAGAGGATGTTTGGCAATGTTGGGTTATACATGAAAGCCATATATTTTCCACAGGGTGTCTGCCCTGACAGAATATTTATTTGGGGCAAAATATACATTTGCCTACAGATGTAATGTAAAGATAGTCTGTAAAACACAAATAGCCATTTAAAAATTATTTTTAAAGAAATAATACTTTAGAAAAAAATTAAATAAAGTCTGGCTATCACCTCCCTTATTCTGATATTCCCAAGTTCCTTTTCTGCAAGGCTGTTCTTGATCCATTTATCCCCCAGCTTGTATTGTTTCTGGGGATTGTCCTAACCCAGGTGTAGCACCTTGCACTTGACAAATCTCATCAGACTCCCAGGGCCCCACATCTCAAGCTTTTCCAGGTCCCTCTGGATGTCATTGATCCTTCATATGTGTCAACAGCACCACTAGGCTTGGTGTCCTCTGCAACTTGCTGAGGATACGTCCAATTCCAGAATTGATGAAGATAGTATCCTTACAGCTTCTCTGGGAAGACATGCTAGGAGAAATAACATTTACTCTGCCTTATTTGACAAACAGTGATTATGTGAAAAGCATTTGACTGGTTGGAAATTAAGGCATAGAAAAATAAGATAATATGTTACCTCTATTTTGAATATCCAACTGAAAATCCATAAGCCTTGTTTTTTTATGGAGTTTAGCAAGGATTTGTGACTGGCTTTGGACACCACTGCCAATAAAGCTGCAGATCAGCTATGAGAGGAGCTTCCCTTGTTCTCTCTATCTTTCTTCTGGGATGAGGTCTCATGCACAGCCTGGTCATCAGGAGTTCTGAGATGGTGCATGTAGATGTGAACAATGGGGATATCAGCTGAGCTCCTGGAACTCTCTACTGAGAGTGTGTGGCTTCTGGAGTTTTTTCCATATTTGTTGCCGTTTTGGAAGATGCCTAATGCAGTAGCTCTGCTCATGACAAATTTCGCATCTGGAAGTATTAGAAGGGTTTAACAGTTCTGTTTTGCATAAAGAAAACACCTCATTTTATTAGTTCTCTTTTTCTTTCTTAGCAATAAGTAAATTATTTAAATGGATTTAAAAAAAATAAACCTAACTGGATATAGAAACACACAAACCCAGAACCCTACCATGGCCATCATTTACAGTCTGAATTACGTGAGCAGGACCTTCAGCCATCTCCTGCAGTCTCAGTCACCAGCATTGCTGGTGACAGTGTCAGGAAGGCAGCACATCATATTGCCCCAGAGAGAGAGGTCCAGCTGAACAGGTTTATGCACAGGGGATACCCTAAAGAGTCTAGCTGTTCTGCTGGAAAAGGCATCTTTAAATCTCCCATGGGAAAACTTCAATGTTTTGAAGCAACCCCTTCAATGTACACATTATGCACTTCATTTTCATTCTCTTTTCAGGCATTGACCATGTCAGCATTAGATTGGACCTAGAAACTTTATTCCAATTCAGCCATCTTATCCTGACCTTTAAGGTACATCTTTTACCAGAGCTTTTATGTAATGTTGTACACTAATTACTTAACCACAGGAATTAATTGCTTGGAGAGGCAATGAAAGCTCCATGTTTAGAGGTTTGTAAGAACAGATTAGATAAACACCTGTCAAGTATGGTTAAATTGTAGTTGATCCTGCCTTAGGGGAGGAGGATAGACTGAATAGCTTCCTATTCCTATGCCTTTTGGTCCTATTTTCCATAAATCCAAGAGTTAAAACTGAAAAAATACTTTGCAAAATTAAACTCCAAAAATGTAGGACATATCTGAACTGCAGTGGCTCTTTCAATTTAGTTCAGTACATGTGTATCTATTCTGATCCAGATGATTACAATTTCTTTTTGTACTAAATTCCTATATTGTTATGGTAAACTTCCTTACACAGAAAGTAATCACACATTTATATGAAATATTATCTTTCCCTTTTTCTAGAGAGAGGTTCTAATGAGCTTTTTCAGAGACCCTGTAAACTTACAGTACTTTAACAAACCTATAAACTCTCAAATACAAAATTTTAGCATCCTTCAAAGAGAAATATCAATGTAACAACCCCTGAGGTGTCTTGTTAATGCCGACTTAGGGAATTCTTGAAATATTTCTTGCAGACATTTCGGCCTGCAGCAATGCTGGTTGAACGCTCTACTGATTTTGGTCAGACCTGGAAAGTGTTTAGATATTTTGCACATGACTGTGCAGCTTCTTTCCCCAACATCTCTTCTGGTCCAGCAAAAAGTGTTGGAGATGTTATTTGTGATTCAAGATATTCAGACATTGAGCCCTCCACTGAAGGCGAGGTACTTTCAAGTGTCTGTTTGTATGAGTTAAAATCATTTGTGGAACTAAAGGTCTCTTGTCTGTGTCTGCTAAAAGCAGAGACCTGTCCTTTGATCCCTTTGGTGGCTGCTCATCTCATCTCTAGAGTTTTATTGATTTGTTTTGCAGGTTGTTTTAAAAGCTTTGGATCCCAGCTTTGAAATAGAAAATCCCTATGTGCCATATATCCAAGGTATGGATACAACATGTTTTGTCCAGATACACTTTGCTGGTATTTTTTGTTTTGTACACTGAAAGGATCAACAGCCCAGCTAGTGTAACACCATGATGTTGAAAATTAGGTACCTAAAGACCTTAGAGGCACATTGTATTAAAAAATTAAATGGGCCAGTCTTGTTTTCTAGCCCTGGGGGCAAACAGCAAAGCTCTGCAGAGCACATCCATGAAGCTAAACTGTCTTTCCCTCTGAATTCAGGCCCAATCCACACTGCATTTTGAGAGCAGTCCCAGAGGTACACATGAACCCATGAAGACAGTGGCTGGGAAAATGCAGAGCCATACCAAATAGGATGCTAACATTTATGCAGCTGTGTGCCAGGAGTGGGTTCCTGCACTGCCACTGTAGGCATTACTGATCTTGGCCAATATTGGATCATTTTTAAAATTTCTTCACTATGGGAAAATTCTTGGATGACTAATTCAAGCTGAAGATTTTATACTGTTCATTTTATACTGAACTCAGGCTCCTGATCTCTCTTCTTTCTTTCCAGATCTCATTACATTGACAAACCTAAGGATCAATTTTACTAAACTCCACACTCTTGGAGATGCTCTGCTTGGGAGGAGGCACAGTGATCCCCTTGAGAAGTACTACTATGCCATCTATGAGATGGTTGTGCAGGGCAGCTGCTTTTGCAATGGCCATGCCAGCCAGTGTGATTCCATGCAGAACTTACGGGGAGATGTTTTCCATCAGTCTGGGATGGTGCGTCCTTAGTGCTCTCTCTGAAAAGGGGAGTCTCAATTGATACTTTGGAAGAAGGAAGAGATGGAGGGAGGGAGATGAAGGAAGATCTCTGATAATCTTTGGATTGACCATTTGCAGCTGGTAGTTGTTAAATGTTTCAATGCAGACTCTTCTTTTAAAGCCTGGGGTTGGAATGCACAGAAGCTGTCTTTGCTGGCACTACTGTGGTGTTTCAAAAACAACTGGGACAAGATGTGTTGGCAATAGCAGCAAAATTCCAGAGCTGTAATGGTGCAAATGTAATGCAGTAAGTAGCCTGTGGCATGTGCAGACTTGAATGGCCACTTGTTGGGTGCATTCCCCACTCCATCTGGGCTTGGAGGCTCTGCAGTGGGAGAGGAGGCATTGGCATAAAGAATGCAAAGCTAACCCATGAAAAATGGATTATTAAAAATTCCAGGAATATGATTGCAAGTTCTTTCCCTCTGGGAACAAGAGTTTTTTTCTTCTGGAAAATATGTATCACAATATGAAGACATATAGGGTGAGAGAGAGATAATTTAAAAAGTTGATGTCTCCTTTGGCATCTCTAGAAGTAATTTTTTCTAAATGTTGCTCAGTGTCTTTAAAACTATTTGGCCAATGTTTGGAGGTATTCTCCAGAACTTTTACTCAGATAATTGAAAATTATGTCAGCTGAGGGAGCCAAAGAGCTTCAAATTTTCCTGATCTTGCTGACATACCTTAAGCAAATCTCTCCTCTCCTCTCCTCTCCTCTCCTCTCCTCTCCTCTCCTCTCCTCTCCTCTCCTCTCCTCTCCTCTCCTC